ACAAGATTTTAAAGCATTTCAATCAGCTAATACAGCAATTACTATCTGCTGTTTTGAGTAATCACAGTTTTAGCTATAGAATTGGTAGTAGTAGTAGTAAAGCAAGGTTTGTTTTGCTATTGACTGACTGTTCAATTTATTATTAGCTCGGTACCTTTGCTAGCAATTACTGATCAACTGTGTTAGTTCTCTAAGATTAAGCAAGTGAAGTTTTGCCATATTATTGCCTACATACATGAAATCTTGAATGTGTATCTCTTAAGATTGTAATTGAGGTTCTCTTACAAGGAGTGTGTTACGTTGTTCGATCTACATACGACACAAATTAGTACGAACAAATAAGGTGCAATTTGCTTTCATTTGCAGAGTGAGTAGCACTCCTTGGGCTACTCTATTGGCATGATATACTCCTTTATAGAGTTGGGTAAGTTGCGACTTGCGAGAGTTGTTTTCCTTAGACTTGGGACCAGGACTTTAAATATTTTTCTAACACATGCCAATGACAATAACAATCATAGAGTGATTGATTGATTTCTGAACTTACAGAACCTCAAACCATTTGGAATTTGAATACTACTATAGGAGATCCAAAGCTACTAGCTTGATAGATTACCTTTACATGCATACTGAGAGTCTGAGATATAGAGTAGCATATGAAGTAGTTAGTCAGTTTCCTATTGAAGGGAATGGCATTCATTCGCCTAATGTGCCCTCTAAAGAAGGTAATTAACCCCACACTATGTTAGCTCTAGCTCTCCAAGCTTCCAAAATCTGTTAGGGATAAGGGAACACAATTACATTGGGTTTACACACAAACAAAACTCTTCTGGGCTTATCTATCTGTAAACTTTGGGTTTACACACAAACATTAATTTGGGCCTGTGAAAGCCCAGTTACTTTCCGGCGGAGTATCGGGCTCTTAAATTGGACAAATTGGCTTAATATCTTGACAGTCGACACACTCCATCTTCTTGTTGAATTGGTAGGGTTGTACAATTTTGGTCTGACAAGCTCTATCAAAAACAATAATGCTCTATTGTTGGAGGCGGCGTGGATACTTAGGTGGCGACAAAGATAGAATAGCCTACGGGCCTTGTTTCAGATGTAACCCTTCGGGGCAAGTGATGTAGCCTTCGGGCCTTGAAATTTAAATAAAAAACCAA